AGGGAATAGGGAGCCGATAAGATTGATGACTGTATACTCCCATTCCATGGGATCGAACAACAGAATTGTATGTGAATGGATATATTGGATTGTCTAAGATATGGCAAAACCCCCCACAAAAATAAACTATTATAGGGGAAAAAATAAGGGTTCCTGGGGGAGAGGGGATAAGGGGGAGCTGATATCAAGGAGTTCAAGAAAAAGAAAATGTGAAACTGATTGTGGTAGCAATTGTACAATACTGCTTGATGTGACTGAACTATGGATTGTTAGGATATCTGTAAGAGTGCTTAATAAAATGATTAAAATTTTTTTTAAAGTATAGGATTAAGTAATTACATGGCAAGTGCAGTGATGGGTGGATACATGGGGTAATGTGAGAGAATGCTGAAGGGGAATCCAGTTTCAAGGGCAGATGCCTTAGAAACCAGTTAGAATAAACTTCTGAGGACCAGTACCATCGCCGATTGTGGGGCAGGCTGGTGTTTGGAGGATTCCATTCGAGGTGGGCGTTTAAACTGTCATCTCAGTGAGGAGGAGCAGGAGGGGTTAGGTGTTGGTTCCCTCTGGCAGCAACTGTAGGAACAACAGAGGGAAACACTGGCGCCACCCTCACAATCCCTTCAACTTGGTGCCCTTGTGCAGGCACTGGGTCAGTCCATCCCTTTTCAGGATCTTGTTAGTTTCCCATCAGTCAGGTGTCCCCTTAGTTGCATGAACTTCAGTAAACCACTCCTTTCTTCTGTGCCACCTTGCAGGTGAATTTCAGATCAGTTAAGATTTTATCAGTTGCTTGATGTTACTCAAATAGTTCATTTGGGCCAGTGAAGTCCCCCGTGGCTATTGTCTTGCCAACGTTCTGTTCTGTTCATGCAGCCTGTAGACTACCTACCTGGCCACCTGCTATTCCTTCCTTTCTCTCCTGAGGCTTCTCCGTGCATTCTTTATTGTCCCCAATATGTAGGGTTGTGAATTTTCATCAAGAATGCTTTCTTGACTTGGTTCTATTTTTAGTTAATAAGTGATTGAACTTTTGCTAAACGCTTCCATTACATCATTTTAAACTAAGAATTTTTGGATATGTTTTTTAAACTACCACGCCCTCAAAATACTGGTTTCTTATTCTAAGTTGTATAGTCACTCGACGTTTCTCCTAGCAACAGTGTTGCCACAGTTCACTACTGAAGGCGACGAAAGAGGAAAGGATGGGATGCGTGCTCTCACGCTGGCGGTCCCTGTGAGGACAGCAGAGTTGATGGAGCACCTAGTCATGTTGGTTCGTGTGCCCTTGACCAACAGTTGATGTGTGTCCCCAGATCAGCGGCATCAGTGTCACCTGGGGAGTGTCAGAGAGGCAAATTCTGGGCCCCATCTCAGACCTACAGAATCAGACACTGTGGGGAAGGGCCCATCAATTTGTGTTTTAGCTTCTTCTCCAGATTATTCCTGATTCCGCTGTTTAAGTCCTTCTGCGTGGTAGTGTTTCTTCTAGTGTCTTCCTGGCACACTTAGATAAAAATCATTTTGGATTTTATTATAATTCCTAAAGGTGAGGCCCAGGAAAACTGTCTTTTGAACTAGTTTCCCAGGAGATCCTTGTGTACGACAGGGCTTCAAAAATTCATTGGAAAACTAGAATAGAAAAAGACCTGAAGCAGGAGTGGAGAGTCCCATGCACCAGGAGAGAAGAGCCAGCAGTGACGTTTGTCTACGATCCCTCTGTAGTAGCCAGGAGAAGAAGATCAGTGCTGAGACTCGGAGAGTGGTGGCCCCCTAATGAGTAAGGCTAGGTGCCTTAGAACAGGAGGCTGAGTGGGGTATCCTTTGGGCATTTATCCAAGTTGAAGGAGCTTTGTAATTCTTGCTTGAGCAGGATAGAGGCCAAATGATCCCGAGCCACTCTGAGGATCTGAGAGAGATGGGCTTACTGGCATGACTGAGAAGAGGTGCTCAGGACCAAAGATCCATATCCTTAATATTTTCTGATCCTGCCATGCAGCCTGTTAAGTTCAGTAATAAGCCCTGTGATTGTGATTGCTTTGTTGCCATTGCCACAGAGGAACCCAGCAGAGAAGTGGAATGTCTGGGAGAGATGGTTGGTGTCAGAGTTGGGGGAAGGAAGTTACCGGGTGAAGGCAGGTCTGACCACTGCCTTGTGGGATTGAGCCTTGGGCTGGTGTAGAGTTGGATTTTCCTCCCCCCTTAGCTGGAGGTCAGACATGTTCCCCTCCCTCCCCTGCCATTTTCTCAGCTGCCCACCCAGGTGCTTTCTTTTCAACAACTGTTGTGCTTGGAGATTCAGCAGAAGTGGTTTATGGGTGTTACACTTTTCCACAGACTCAAAGGTTGAAGTTTTATTCTATAATTTCCTAAGAGTTGATATTTTGAAAAAATCAATTTTTTATTTCTTTATTAAGAACATTCACGTGATACTTGCCCACCCCCTCCCTTTTTTGCCTTCAATGTGAGTGCTTCGTGATGAGTGCAGTTTGGTACCATTACCTTGACTTTTGCTCACGTGCAGCGCTGTACCCGCTATTGCTTTTGAACTTAGTGCACATACCAAGAAGAAACCAGTACATTGCATCCTAGTATCATTTTGTGTACCTTTAAAATAGGACACTATTCTGGCCTCAGTTGTTTTCACATTCCACATGCCCAGGACGATGGTGAGACTTCATCCCACACACTGTGGACACGTTGTCAGGAGAGACCAGTCCCTGGAGAAGGACATCACGCGTGGTAAAGGGAAGGAGCAGCAAAAGGGAGGAAGGCCCTCCAGGAGATGGAGTGATGCAGGGGCTACAACAATGGGCTCAGCCCAGGAATAACTGTGAGGATGGCACAGGATCAGGCCGCGTTCTGTTCTGTGGTGTGTAGGGTCACTGTGTATTGGAACCAACTTTATAGCATCTAACAATGACAACACCATTATCACCACCAGAAACACTATCACCACCACCACCACCACCACCAGAAACACTACCACCACCACCAGCAGCTTTCTTTGGGTACTTGGCATCCTTATTAGGACTTCTTAATCCTGCTGTCAGGTAAGCACCAGACCTGAGGTTCAGACTCAGGAGAAAGTTGAGATTATCGATGCCCATAAAGACTTAAAGCTTCAGAAACCCCATAATAGAGCCACGGTGAGTCGGAATTGACTTAGGAACAGTGGTTTTGGTTTGTAAGGTTGAGAGTTTTTCTACAAACCATTTGAAAGTTGCTTTTACAAGAACAATTTATAGATGAAAACACTGCTGAGCATGTGAGGCAGTCATTCCTTTGATAAATATTTACTAAGTGATTGTTTCGTGCTTGCCCGGGGCTAAGCCCTGCCAGTCATTGAAAGAGTTTTCCAACTTCGACTTATTTTGGGACATTTAGACATTTCGTTTATGACCATTTCCTGAAAACTTGCTTTAAAGTGGCTGTTTTCGTTCTTCATCTGTCCCAGTTTGTTAGTGCAGGCTGTTTTAAGAGAATGGAAACACTCAATGGAGGGTGTTGTAGGTTGTAGGTTGAACAATTTTGTGACTTCAAAAATTACTGAATTGTGCTATTTAAACTGAAGAATTATATGGGATATGATTATATTTCCATCTTTTTGTTTTTAGTTGCTTTTAAATTGGCTTGAACCCAGGTGACTTTAAGGTACATAAGAACAAATTGTTCATAGTACTTTGCCACTTTCAAGATTTTTGATGTAGTTGAGCTCAGTAAAATGAACCTAAAAATAAAATGTCTAAAAATATTAGCATGTGATTTCTGATAATAGTAGTTTCCCAACCTAATTTACTCACTTCGTGTTTGTCAGAGACCATTAAGCAGTCTAAGAAATAGACCGCAATGAGACACCTGAGTCTCTACCCTTTAGTATTTCTTGGTGCCTTTGTGCATAAAGGAGCTCCGGTGGCTTAGTGGATGCACATTGGGCTATTCATCTTAAGCTCAGCAGTTCAATACCAGCTGCTCCGCTGGAGAAAGGGGGGTTTCCTACTTTTGAATTACAGACTGGGAAATGCACAGGGGCAGTTCTACCCAGTCCTATCGGGTCACTGTGAATTGCATCGGTTCGATAGTCATGAGCTTGGTTTGGTTTGTTTGTGCACATTAATTACTCTTAATGTCCCCTACCCCCGCCTTTGTTCGGTTTCCTGTGAGGAAATGGTTTGGGGCTGCATCTAACCTCCTCCAGCTTCAGAAGGGAGGAGCATCCAACTCCCTCCCCAAGGCCGGCCCCCCCCAAGGCTGAAGCCCTTCTCTATCACTGAACCCTGCACTCTACTGCTCTGCCGAGGGGGACACTCCTGATCCAGGGGTTGTCAGCAATACTCAGAACTCACAATGTTCAGGATCATGGGGTTTACTATCGGTTACAAAATACTAAGGATACTGTTCTGTTGTCCATTCAAACCACTTCTGAGTCAGGCTAGCGGCGTGTCTGTCTCTGCCCCGTGGACCCTCAGCCACCGGGTCCGGTAGCTTCTGCCTCTGTGGGCAGTCTGCCCACTGCTCTGCCTCGCTCCTCTGCTCTGTCTCATGGTCTCCGTCTAGCTACAGGTTCCCACCGATTCAGACAGGGTTGTCCTGTAGCTCATCTTTCAGGATGGTTTCAGGAATTTCTGTTCCTGTCTTTGAGATACCTAATTCTTCAATCCAGAGAAATGGCTAAACTGAGCATTCCCCACTATTAGTGTTTCACGTACCCTTTTTGCAAGGTCCCGTCACTCAGTTAGTGGGAGTTACAAAGAGCATATGTAAGCTAAAATTTTCACTTCACCACAATATGTAATTAATATGGATAATTGGGGGCAATGAATTGATGGCGGATTTTCCCTCTATAAAGTTCTTTCTGCCTAATGTGATATCACCAAAATAATTTTCTTATTAATGCCGACTGAGTGATTACTTTACAAACTAGGAACATTGCTGTGAATTTTGAGGGATGGGCGGAATCTAGAAAATTGGCCAGCATAAATCCTTGATATCTGAATCGTGTACAACAGCCCGTAGCAGTTCTTTTTTTATTTGTCAGAATGTGATCTGGATAAATGATGTAAGGGATGTGAAACTCTTGTAACACTCTTAAAGGAGAACACATTTGAAGTGTTTTATTATAAATGCTGTTACTAAAATCTGAAATTGAATATGAGTGTGGTGTTGAAAGGCGCTCTCTAATATTTTCATTATAGGAAATAAAGTCTTTGGTTTCTCTTTTCGGCGGTCAGTTCACCAGCAGTCAGGAAACGTATGGAAAGGTAAGTTATATACATATCTTTATTATATCCTATGTAGTATATTTATAAACAAAAGCTTGACATTGGAAGAGAAGAACTGTACATCTTCATTTATGTTTGGTGAGGTTATTTTGTGTCTGTTTCCAGAGGTAATTGAATAAAAAGGATATTTTGAAAAATGATAATTTTGGAACCTAATTTAGATTTACTTTCAGAATTTATTCATTTCATCAGTTAACACTTTTAAGTTAGATAGTTGTACCTTAATTTATGTCTGTGTCCTTTCACTGAAAAAGAAGTCGTTTTCTATTGGTGAGAATATGTAGAATCAGAGTTCATCACAAAGGAAGCTGAAACTTGGGCTTTCACAGGGAATAATTTTAAGCTTTGAATTGGGAATCATTGCAGTTGTGCACTTGCGAGCTTTCTTTGTTACCCACTTCTGAGAGTGCTGGGTCTCTCTCTGCACGGGAGTTGTAAGAATTCCGCTGCCTTCTCTCTACGCCCCGTCATCCACGGCAGCCTTGTCTCCGCTGGGCCCTTGTTGTGCCCGCTCTCCATGCTCCGTGAGCGTGGGAGACTAAAAGAGGCCTGAGCTGGTAGAATCAGGGCTGCAGAATGGACAGGCAAGGTTCCCAGTGAAATTCTCACAGGGGAGCCCTCGCTACCCTAGCAGAATAAGCGGGTACATTGTCATGATGCAAGAAAACAAAACAAATCAATGGGTGCCAATTTCTTGGCTTTTTCCTCATCGATGCAGTTTTCACTTTTCTTACCATTTTTCCTAATAAGACCTTCTGATGATTGTGTCCTTTGAAAAACATTTATCAAGCTTACCTCTTTGGGGATCTCCAAACTGGCTTTTATAACCTCTGAACTGACTTCTTGGACTCGAATTTATCTGGCCTGGCAGAGCCCCTTGGAAGCTGCTTTTTTTTTTCTTTCTGAGTTGTTCTATCAGGACCAAGACAAATGTATTACTGAGAGAGCGGGTCTGCAGCCATCCACTGGTCACGGCGACATGCAAACACAGTGTTTGCCACACGCTGTGCACGAAGGGCCTGGACCCTCCTGGCAACACTTTGCTTTCCCTTGTGCTCTGCCCCCTCAGTTGTCACCCTCCTTAACGTGGCCGGAGTTCTGGTGTTGTCCTTGATAGGATTCATAAAGGCACTAGCTGCTGCACAGCTTTTATCACTTAATTGGCTATGAAAAAGTTTCCAGTGACTAATTGTACCATCATTATCCAATGGTTTTTCATTTCAGTCAGGTGGCTTTAAAATTTTTCCTAGTAAGAAAAATACTAGAGTGAGGCCGTTTTCCTGCTTTGATTATTTTTGCTCCCAGGTAGAGTAAACGTCAGAAGAAGAAAGAATAGATGTGACAGGGAGAATTTTTTGCGAGAGCACAGTGAGCTTATATTGAAAGTCCCCGTGGAGTGAACTTGAATTCCTGAGTGGTTTTCACTGAAGGGTAGAGGGGGAGGCTAGAGGAGAGAGTGGGTCGGATTGGATGAGGGTGATGGACTGAAGTCGGCTTTCTGGGTTTGCTGTGTTCCAGCAGGGGCTTATTTGAATGGGGCTTAAAAGTGCTCTGAATCTTTGGTGCTAAGATGGGACGAGGGAAATTCCCTCGAGGTACTTGGAGCTTTTTTGCCATCTCAGAGCAGTGCTTCCCAAAGTGAGTGAGAATCTCCACTGGGGTGATGCAAACACAGAGACCTACACTTTATCCTGGGCTATGGGCTGCAAGAGTTGAGTTTCCCGTGGGGCACAGGGTGCCCCCGCCCCTTGGAAAAGGGGCAGTAGGCTAAATAAGCTTGGGAACCACTGCTTAGAGGAAATTATACAGTGAAAAAATTACTGATATTAAAAATATCTTCCATGAATTTCTGTCAGAATTATTCCAGAAGGGCCCTCCTTCACCTCTCGGGTGGCTACAAGGAGCTGGGAAAAGAAGGCTCATGTAGCTACAAAGAAATGGGTTCCTTAGAAGTCAACAATAGAATAAATGCCTGTGTCATAAGGAATGATTAACAACAATAGAAAATAAAAATTCTAGAGTTTATATTTTGGAGCATAAAAGGTATTCTTTTAGTCAATCAACTTTAATATTAGGGCAAATTAATCTTAAATTTAAGTAAGTTTTCGTTTAATTCACTGATATCTTCATCTAGTTTGACGTCATTCGTTGCCACTGGGTTGACGCATGGAGACCCTCGGGTCGTTTGTGGAAGCGTTCTTGCGTTGGGCCCCTATAACGTTGTAGGTCGTCTGCCTCTTTGACTTCTTCGTGTTGGAGACACTGTAATATGGCCAGCCCTGTGTGTTCTTACATGAAATAGGAGCCGCTCGCTTTTGATGTCTTGACTAAAAGTCCGCGAGGCCACATAACCACTTCGGACGAAATTGCATGTTGTTGTTTTTCCTTTCAGTCTCCGTTTTGGATTCTTAGCATTCCCTCGGAAGAGATTGCCAGAAACTTAATGAAACGGACAGTGTGTGCCAAGTAAGAGAGACTGGTAACGTTCACCACGCGCCAAATGACTCCTGTGACCTTGTGCTAACTTGTCCCCAGGGAGAGGGGTGGGCTGGTGGTGAGGGGGTGCCGGCCCTGGTGGCTCAATGTAGGCTGCAGTTACACGCTTTTACCACTGGGAGGCGGTGGGGGAACAGGAGTGTCATCCCGCTGAAACAGGGCGAGGTGTTGGAAACACTTGCCTTAGAATAATTTTCTGAGACTTCCACATTAAGCCGGAATATAGTACGAAACATAAATGCGGTGTTATGAATAGGGTAGATGCCACTTTTAATTATGTCTAAAGTATTGGAAATAAAAAAAAGGTTTCTCTTGTACTTAGACCGACCGTAGTTGCTGTCAAAGTTGCCTGGACTCGGTGACCTCACAGACACTCAGGGTGGCCCTGCCTGTGCTCGCCGGGTCTTTTGTTGCTGATATTTCCCGATCCAGCTCACCACGTCGGCCGTCCACTCCCTAAACACGGTGTCGTTTAGCCAGCGGCCCTCCTGGGGCCAGAGTAAGGGAGTTGGATGGTGTTCTGTTTCGACCCACGATGTTTTTATCAGCTAGTTTGTCCCCAACTACATTGCCCAGCGGCCCTCCGTGTCTGTCTAGTCTGGAGGCCCCACCGTGGTGCCAGCTGGCATTTGATACATCAGCGGCACACTTCCAGCACCATGGCAACATGTAGGCTACCAGATGTGGGTGGTCCCTGTACTTGCAATTATATTAATATCCACCCTGTCCTTTTTTGTTATTTGCTTTTCAGGGTTTTCCCGACTCAGAGTCTTCCCTGCCCAGGGTTATGCTTGGATTGCCAGTTTTCTCCTCTCAGTTTTGCCTCCAGAAATCTCTCTTCTCCCTTACAATTTAAGCTGGATGATGGCAATCAGATTTGTTTCTGTTCTGTTTCAGTGCCCAGAAGAGTTCTTGGCATAAAGTAGTCTGTAATAGATATTTGTTTTGTGAGTGAATGAATGAGGAAGCTTATCATTTTCAAACACTGAGACTCAGAACAAGAACTGCATGCATAGGACTACGTAGTTTGCCCAGCCATAGTTTGCCCAGCCGAGGGATCTTTACATGGTTGCTAAGTAAGGGTGTAGTGGTTCCTTTCCATGTGGGAGCCCTGAGTTCCATCCTCAGCCGATCCACCTCCTGAGGGCGTACAAGGTATGTTCCTCTGATTCGAGACATTTCAGTGGAGCTGCCAGACAAACACAGACTAAAGAAAGGCTTGCGAATCTACATCTGCAAATTAGCGGGTGAAAACCCAACGGATGTCAATAATTGGTGTTTTTTATCTCAATAATTTAATCTAACCAATAATGGGGTGACATAGGGCCACGCAAGGTTTTGTTCCTGTTGTTCATGGAGTGGATTGCAGCTAATAAACTAAATAAGAGTAGTATTACCTTTGGGGCCCTCACTCTGAATTTAGTAGGAAGGAAAGAAGGGATTCGTTTTCAAATGATAATAATTATGTTCTATGCACAGCATTAGTTACAATTATGTAATACCGCTTGAATTTAGATCAACAAAACTGCAGATACAGAGATCGAATTCTATTGCAACCAGCTCTCAAACTCAATGCCGACTCAGAGCAGCCCTGCAGGACGGGGTGGAACTGCCCCTGTAGTTGTTGAGACTGCCACTCTGCGCTTGTCTATCTTCCATGGAATGGCTGGTGCTTTTGAACTGGTGACCTTAAAGATTGCAGCCCAATGTGGAACCTCTATGCCGCCAACTCTTTAAGAGCTGTTTAATCTGATGGAATAAGATTTTACTTGTAATTGCTTAAATGCTCTCCCTGAATGATGAACGCTAGAAAGGTTTTCTAGTACGTTGTGTTTTTTTAATAGTTTTGATAGCAAGTATTAGTAAGTGTTACTAAATAGTAGCTAAATTTTAATACTATCATCTTTATCTGGTTCTTTTATATACAGAGAGAAAACATGGGTAAAAATTGAATTTCATGCAGACTTTTACCAGTTTCACTAAAGTAACTTAAATAATTTTATTATATCATTTGTTCTAATAAAGAACTATAATAGTAAAATATTCCAAACCAACAACAACAAGAAGAACAACAATAAAACCCTGAAGTTCAGCTCCTATATGTGGTTTGGAACGGACCTGTATTTGCTTCCAGGATTTCTCTCGTATAGCTTCCCACTGATGCTTTCTAATGGTTTTCAGGGACTGGACATAAAGAACTAGTGAAACAACGCGTTCTACTGTGTAAACACATTTCTTCTTGGGTTAGTTCTGACCGTTTCTTCCCTAGGTCTATATTTGAACTATGGGGCCATGGAAAATCTCGGGAGGAGCTGTACACTTCTCTGAAAAAGTACCCCATGGAAAAGATGGTGCGTAAAGCAATATGGTTTTAAATCAGGGTGCCTGCTGATGCTGTGGACTTTCTAAGCTTCAAAAATTATCTGCTTTTATTTTAGGTTCCCTATCTACAAGCAGACTCTACATACAAGATACAGATTCATACCTTCAATAAAACTTTGACACAAGAAGAGAAAGTCCACCGCATAGATGTAAGTGAACGCACAGGATTCCTCCAGTCTGGGCGCCATTGCTGGACCATACGCACTGATGTCTGCGAAGCCCTTAGCTGTGTCACGCTTTACGCCGAGTACGTTTCATGGCTTAGCTTGCTTAGTGTTGACTCCAGGCTCGCAAGGTCGGGCGGTATGATCAGAAATGCGGCATTTTCCCTTTTACATTCTAGTAGGACATTTGAATTTTCTTTTGTTTCTTCCTACCTGCCCCACAGGCGCTTGAGTTTCTGCCATTTGAAGGAAAAGTGAATTTAAAGAAGCCACAGCATATATTCTTCATTTTGGAGGACTATGGTTTGGACCCAAACCGCATCCCCGAGAGTCCACATAATATTTATTTTGGTAGATGGGTAAGCCAGGCTTCTTTCTATCTCCATTTGTGGCTCACTTTCAAAGCGAAACCCAACTTGTTTCTCTAAAAGCGAAATTTGACTCCTCAATGGTGGAGCTTTAAAGTAGCTGAAGAGTCAGAAGTACGGTGCTGATGACAGTCGATGGGGAGTAAGTGGCTGCGGTTTTGTGTTCCTTTGACAGCCGTCTCGAAGAAGGTTGGGAGGCTTGTTAGATCTAGAACCGCAGAAGGAGCGATGAACCCAGAAACATGAAGACAAAGCTTACTAGGAAATCAGACTTTTTTTTAAAGTGAGAAAAGGTAGGGTTCTGTGATGGCTGAGAAATCTCACTTGTATAACAATCCAGGCTAAGTTTTCTGGACGACAGAATTACTGCAGAGCCTTCTGCCTCCTCCCTGGAGGCCTTCAGGGGTCAATGCTAACTGTAGCTTACATCACAGAATCTTGTCACTTAGGATAGGCCAAAGTTATTTACCACCAAGACCTGGAATAATTGTGTTTGAATCCAACTCAGACTTGAGACCCCTGTAAACAGACACATCAAGAAAGTCCATGACTACTACCTCAGTCACAGCTCCTGAGAGGGACAAGTTTGAACATTAGAAAGTGGTAAGAGGGGTCTCATCAAGAAATTGACATGGTGAAGATGATCTTACACCTTTTCTGAAGCTTTATGCTAATTTTGAAAATACTTCTGATCTAGATTGCAGACGGACAGAGGGAACTTATCGAGTCATATAGTGTCAAAAAGAGGCACTACATTGGAAATACAAGTATGGATGCTGGCTTATCATTTATCATGGCCAATCATGGAAAAGTAAAAGAGAATGATATTGTCTTCGATCCATTTGTTGGAACAGGTATTTCTATATTTATATTTAACCACTAGTGTTGCAGCGATGCTACTTGTTTGCCGTGATTATACTGCTGTAAGATTAAATGGCCCGAAGAATCTCCTAGAGTCCATTCAGTGGAGGATAATGGACAGCCATGTCCACCTGGGATAGCAAGTAGCTAACAGTTTTGCACTTGGAAAAAGCATGCTGATGGATCCCTCCCCCTCCCCCCCC